TGCCTTATGAATCAAAATATTAATCGTTAAAGTCAATATGGCTATTCAAGTTAGGAAATCTGTCACAGCAATGGTTCACTGCTATAAGAACACAAATCTTCTGCATTAAAAACAAATACTATGTTAAAACAGTAAGTTTATGTTTTAAAAACAATGAATCACTGCTGTTACAGATTTCCTAATTTAAATAGTTGTCGACTTTAATGATTATTATCTCAGTTCACAGGGACTGAGAACGACGCTTCTTTTTCTTCTTTACAAATCTTTATTTTTACGCGAAAACGCATCGATTGAATGCATTTTTATCAAAACTTAAGATGGCCGAAATCTTCTTAACATTTACCATAATCTTATACTTTTAGGTTTATCATTGAATTAGCAGAATCGTGTATTTAAGATCGACGATTTTGCCAGGAGCCAATATAGCGGATGCATATTCCCACCTAATATATATAGTACCTTAGCGCTGACACCAACAGCGTACAAATTTCTGGAGATCGAGATCGCCGTGGGATCAATGTCTTTTCATAAAAATTGAGATTAACGACACCCGAGGCAATCGCGTCATCCTGCTGCATGCTACATGGAAGGCGTTCATTGAAAAACGAGCGGATACCGAACGATTGGTGCAGTCACCTACTTCATCGAAACTAACGATTTTCCTCGATGAGTTAAACAACCAGTCTTCCTCCAATTACAGACAGCTCATGTATACGATGCATCCATGTAACGTATGTCCACTCTACAAATGTCGAAAGAACCAAAATATGGAATACACTGACAAGATAATTGACTTTATACTGGAGGTATAGGATGTAACAACAATCTTATGCGTGGTCTACAATGAGCAGTAGCAGTAGTTGATTAAGGAGTAGGCGTAGAAATCAACAAATCATAGTCGAATGTGAGGAGGACAATTAACTATCATTGGTCGATTTCTACGCCTATTCCTTAATCCACTACTGCTACTGCCCATTGTAGACCACGCATTATAGAAGACGTGAAATACGTTCTCGGTAATTCGCAGAGAAGAGACAATGGTGCGAATATCGGTGCAGTTACTTCGTGATCGATAAATACACGGTGAGCGCGTTGTGAAACAGGTAATCATTAACAAAGAGCCTGCTTATGATTGGTCCTTGCACGCGCGATAAATAGTACACGCGGTTTTGAGGCGAATGTAAGAATGATGGTTGTAAAAATAGAAATTTCCGTGCAAAAGATGATTATGGTTGAGTGAGGAAAATCGAGTATAAGCTCGAGCATTACTGCAGATGCATAACGATTTTCGCAGATAGCGAGAAATGTGTCGAATTGGTGATAATAGAGACAACATATTTGTGCAAACTTACAATCGTGTGAAGCATCCTATTATTAAAAAGCTACTTGATGCGTACGATGATAGATATTATGAGTGCAAAAAGTGTATCTTCTTCGAGTACAATAGTGCGGTGCTAGAGTATAATAGTGAATTGCTAAAGCAGTGCAGGTTATTTGATTTTATTTGTATATATAACTTTTTATATGTCTCACTATTTCTTTTAATTAAATATTTTTATATTTTGAAAAAAGAAAAAAATGTAATAACTAAATAAAAAGTAAGATTAAAAGAGTTTACATCTCAGTGTCCGCAATTATTTGTTTCCTTCCTTCTTCGCGGTATCGTATAACACACGTGCCGACAGAGTTCGACGGCGATATCGAGATCATGTTAGAAGATCACGCTTTTTAAATAATTAAATAATAATTTATATAAAAAAATTAATGAATAAATAGATTAATTAATTACACGAAAAAAAAAAATAATAAATGAATAAATAGATTAAGTCTGTGTCCGCACAATTATTTGTTTCCTTCCTTCTTTCTTCGCGCTAACCTATCTTCTTGCGGTATCACATTACACGCATATATGTAATACTCCTATATTGCTAGTAGAGGTCCGACGGCGGTGCCAATATCACGGTGCCGACATAATATTGAGTATTACATATATGATTACACGCCGACAGCATCATCGCGTACCGACATCCGCCTGCGACAATATCATTGCAATCTTATTATTAAGCAATTTTTAAATAAAAATAAAACGTGTTCTCTCATGTACGGTCGTATTTAATATTTAAAAAAAATTAATATTTACATGCGAGAAAACCACGATAAGGAGTGGTATAGAAGATAGCAACGCATGAGAGAAAAAGAAATGGCAAGTATGGCGGCAACGGCGGCGGCGGCGCGGCGGCGCAGCGGCGGCGACAGCGGTGGCGGCGAAGCTGATAGTAGCAGCAGCGGTGGCGGCGGCAGCGGTGGCGGATCGTGCTCAACGGACTCCGCGCCCGGTAATCACTGACCCCGCGTGACGTAATAGGTTTGTTCGCGTCGCACGCTCTAACATGCTCCAATATGCTCCTATCATAGCTCTTACTCTCTCCAACGTGCTCGTTGAAGTGAGCAAGAGCTATGGTAGGAGCATATTGGAGCATGTTGGAGCGTGCGACGCGAACAAACCTAATACGTCGCTTATGTATCGCGAACCCGCAATACGCCGCGACATCGTTTCCTCCGTGAAGTCATATTCCTCACTCACATTCATGACGTCATCCCCTGCCCTCTCCGTGACGTCATACCCCCGCGCCCCAGTATCCCCTGCCCCCCTCCCCATCGGAGGACCTGCATATACTCCACTGTCCTTGGATCTTGTGAGCTTCCGCTACAGTTGATGCCCTAGAGAGGATGTACACATCCTGTTTTAATATAGCGACGCCTCTAACATATCGAAGAACCTCATCTTTGGTGAGTTGACGCAAGGTACGTCAGGGTAGGCCAGATAGGGTGCACACGCCAATCCAAATGTGACTGTGTTCAATTGGTATTTTTCAATCGTTTCGCTTCTTCCAGATCTCCACAATATATTCGCTGCTAAGCCAGCCGTTGAAGACCACTCGCAGTTTCGTCGTGGTGCTAAACTCCTTCAACATCCTGCATGGCAAGTAACAATTGGCTCGCGAGATCTTCCTTTCCTGATGCTGAAGCCGATTATCTCCACGAAGACATCAGTGCCTAAGAGCATGTCGATACCGTCGGAGAACTCCGAATCGGCCAATTCGAGTCCTCGAAGATGTGGCCACTCTCTCAGTGATGTGCTTGACACTCCCGCATATATGGTAAGGCGAAACAGAACAATTGCCGATGCCAGACATCGTGCAAAATAGTGTAATATCGTTCCCCGTACACCGTACACGAGCGATTAGTCACGCACTCATTCACCTTGTGTTTTCTTAAGCAGTTCACACATAGCTGGGCGCTGTCAACGAATTGCATCCGTTCCCCGCACAGTTTTTCTTCTTGAAGGCCTCATAACATCATAAGATAGTGATCTTTACGACACAAAGAGCAGTGCTCTCTTTCCTTCTGAGTAGGATGTGCGCGAGCGACCTTCGAAGCACCTGACTTCTCTGGATTCGCATCGAGCTTGCTACCAAGTGTAGCTTCCATTGTCAACAACCGGCGTTCCAGGAGTTCTTGCAGTTCCGCGAACGATGGTGGTATGTGTCTTGCCACCAATGTGCTTTTCCAACCGAGCTCGAGCTTGTGGATCCAACAGCTTTGTAATCTAGTATACGTACAGGTCTTCTTCATTGATGATGGATCGCCCTATATTAGCGACAACTCCTGCAGTATTTCTGGAGCAATGATAAAGCTTGCGTAGATCAGTGGTTGACTCGGACTTTAGTTTTGGCAAGACCATGGCGTAGAAGGACCGAATCAGCAGTCTCGTATTTTCGCACTAATCGGTAAGAGATTGCTACACCAATGTAAAGTTATTTCGGTAATTATCTACTTTAGGGGTTAAAAAATAATAACTTAAAAAATAATAGTCTTAAAAAAATTACGATTTTTAATAATCAATTAAAATTATGTCGCGAAATAATTTTAATTTCACGAATTTTTATTATGCAGTAATATAATTTTAACTCGACGAATTATTATTATGTCGCGAAATAATTTTAAGCCGTTGCATAAAATTTGTGTTTTTAATATTATCACTACCGAATAAATGGCAAGCTGTTTTACTTTTTAACAGCAGAAAACTATGGCAAGTCGTTTTACTTTTTAATAGTATAAAAGAAATTTAGTCTAATGAAATTTTTAATTCTTGTGTTTTATTTCTAACAAAACTTTAAATCCTTGAAAAATAACTATCTTAAAAAAATTACGATTTTTAATAATGAATTAAAATTATATCGTAACATAATAATATTTCCATGAATTAGAATTATGTCAATAACCTCTTTTTCAGATTCACGCAAAGGAACTCCTGTATGATGCGCGAAATTGCACAGAGAAAAAAGTATTTATTTACTGAAATCTGGCTCGAAGGACCAAAAATATAATGGAATGGAAAAGAAGCGAGCACGAAATAAAGAGACGCACATAATACTTTACACACGAATGAATTTATTTTAACAGCATTTTCGATTTCACTACAAAAATGAAATATACATACACTACTCACAACAATTACAGCTGTCTGAATTTTATCTATTTTTACAAAAAATTAAGTATTCTAATTTTTGTGTGAGTAATGTATATACAGATTCATTCGAATATTAACGGTGATCTAATCGAATTTTTATTAAATATCGGAGAAGAAGCACATCGATTTAATTTTTATATATATAATTATATAATATTTTTATATAAATAATATATAACAAATATTAGAATAAATTAAAGATTTTAACGAATTTATTGGCTCATAGCCCTGTTTCTCTTTATTAGTTTTATATAATTGCTCTTTTTTTCAGCACAATTACACTGATTTCATTGTAACATCTAGTTGGAGAGAGAGCCTGGGACTGGGACTGTCTCCGTCTCGCACTTTTATATTCGTGTGTTTTCTGATTGTTCCAGTAACTACAATACTAGAAATTAATTCACGGAAATTACGTCAAAAAAAAGAACAGTCTGGAAAGACTCAGAATATTATTTACAATCTTAACTTTTTTTGTGTTTTGATTAGTCGCCCATCGCTGAGGCGCCTTGCATTATTGGTAGCTCGTGTGGAAAGCGCTGCTCGTAAAGCACGATTTCTATTGGTGTTGGCACTTCACGCATCTTATGTCATGCGTGTCGTTATCGCGCGCAAATGCTCTTTGTAGGGAAAAACGGATTCTGAATCCGATAATGAAAGCGAAACGAATATAAAGTGGCGTGTCAGAAAAAACTTCACGGATGAACAACAGAAGATGTTAAAATGCGAGTTTGCGAAAAATGAATATCCTAGTACCGATAAGGTGGAAAAAATAGCCAATAAATTGGGAGTGTCATATCAGAAGATTTATGTAATCCCCGTTCTAGTTATAGCAATTACATTTTTGTAATTACTTTATTCTCTATTATATAGTAAAAGTAACTGCATTACTTTATAAGTAGTCGACCCTGATATACATATACAATATTTATATATATTAGAATAGGTTCTTTTATTATTCTTAATGTGCTCTTTTTGTAGAAAAAGATTCATTCTGTAAAATCCGATTACAAAAAAGTAGTAAAAAGGAATCCGCCGCAAATAGAATCACATAGCGTTATCCATAAAAGATATACGGATAATGAACTGAATAAAATACGTCGGGTGTTCGAGGAAACTCCGTATCCTACTGAAAATAAAGTGCAAGAACTAGTCCAGAAGACGGGAATACCAATCAATAGTATTAATGAGATATTTCAAAATCTTAGACAAGAAAACAATAAGATGAACAAACCTACGATTTCATCGACGAGCGATCATCAGATATAATCGTTTTGCTCTATTTTGTTTTACCATTTGCAAGTTTGTATAGTTACAAACATACATGTAATATTACTTAGTGGCGATGTACTTGTTTCAAATAAACGATTTGAATAAATACAAACATATAGTAATATAAATTTATTTTAATGCACACGACTTAACTGCCACTGAACGCTCGTTGTGCGTTAAATATAGAAACGAGGTAATAATATAAATATTAATAAATTAATTGATAATCTTGAAGTTATCAGAAGAAGAGAAATATTATTTTCAATGAAAATATAATAAGTACACCCTAGTAAAAATTTTTTCATGCATGAATATATATATACAATTCATATACATATATTATAATTAAAATTTGTCGGTATATGTTCATACATCTTTCTTTTATAAAATTACTTTTAATGTGTAAAAAATATAATATAATAATATTCAGACACAAAACAAAGAAAAATTAAAAGAATAATTTTTGCATTTGTTTTAGAAAAAATCAGAAAAATGGAGAAATCGTAATACGTTACTTTTACTCGTTACTATTTAAAAGTGATTTTCTTAATTTTACCACAATACTGACGTTTAATTAATTATTATCACGATATTATAGTTATTATTATAACAGTAAAAGTAATTGCGTTACTTATATTAGGAGAGGCCCGGGTTGAAAGTAACAGGGGTAGGTTGAAACACAGTTTATATTGTTTATAACTTTGTCAAGAAAAGAGATAGTCCTACTATAAGGATACGTTCCGTGTCACGCACGATGCGCATAATGCATCCTTGTTACTCACCAAATGTTAAACAGGGACAATTGATGTATCATGCGCATCATGCGCGAAACTGAAGGCAGCTTAAGATAAACGAGATAACTGTACGTCGGGTTAGCGCCGCTGCGTTGGCGCCATATAGCGCCACAACAGTCGCGTCCTGCTTTTGGCTCTGCTCGCGTAGCTTACGCTATGTGTCAGGTGTCTGTACATCAGGTTAGTAAATATTTCGCTCGATGTTATTATTTTGATCTCATTCGTAAATATTAAATTTTATCAGCAATTATTTCTACTCGCATTAAGAGACAATCAGAGAACAAATATACAATATCATTTTATTATATTTTAAATGTGTTATTCATATAATTACTTCACTTTAGTAAATCTCGTATTTTGAGGTTAAAAGCAATATATGCCGATGAGGCAAATTGTGCCATGTTACAACTTAGATTCTATTAGGTGTACAAAAAAGTTCTGAGCTTTAGATTTCATACAATCGAAACCACAATAATTGAAAGGATCCCGCACGTTTCTTATGGAAAAATGTCCCCGGTTAAATTGCTCCGTTTTGAGATATGTTGTACTTTTGTGTTTCTGAACAAATATCTCCATTGCCACATTTATACAAAATGAACAGATAAAAAGATATAGCGTTTTGAAGTCTCAGAATTTGAGTGCCGCCATACCTCCTTAAGATAACTTTTAATGCTTTCTTTTATGTGTAATAAGTATACATATACATGCGTATTCTTGAATGTAATTTTCGCGTGTATACACAGATTCATCAATTACCTTATCCTCTTACTTTCCCTGTCTTGTTTTTGTCTCATATATGTGACTAGTTACTCGCATGACATAAGTAGAGGTATCCTGACGTTCGCGCGTGATTACGTTTTTTTAGGCTATGTACGACATCAGCTTAATGTGAAATATCCAAATATCCAAGCAGAATTGTCTTAAATCGAATTATGAATATTGATAGAGAAATGATCAAGAATAGGATGATATAGATTAGTAGGTCGAATGTGAGAGGCGAGGGGACTCACGTTAAACAAACGTTGTATACCTATGTATATTACACATAAAAGAAAACATTAAATTATCTCAAGGAGGTATGGCGGCACTCAAATTCTGTGATTTCAAACCGCTATATCTTTTTAACTGTTGATTTTATGTGAATGTGACAATGGAGACATTTGTTTGTGAATCACAAGAAGTGCAACATATCTCAAAACGGAACAATTTGATCAGGGACACTTTTCCATAAGAAACGTGCGGGGTCCTTTTATTTATTTTCCCCTTTTGCGGTTTTAAAGCGTTGACATTTGACCTTTTATGCGGTTTGAGATTTATGCACATGACTTTAAAAATTAGTAGTGTTTACGATGGCAATAATAAATGAACATATTAATTTTCCATCCACTTTGCGTTTCATCTAAAAAAAATGCTGCTGAAGCCACTGAAATGATTTTTGTACACTTCCGATTATCATGAATTTCAGTGCTGCAGCGTCACTTGGCTGATACACATTTCGTGATACTTACAGAAATACGAAAATGTATTAATGACTTTATCGCCTCGAAGCCGGTAAACTTTTATTAATAAGAAATCTGCAAGCTGTTCGAAAGATGACGAAAGGTAGTTGATGCAATATTTTGCTGATTAATATTTTTTTGTTTGTTCTTAAATAAAAATTGAATTTTACAAACAAAAAAAACTGAGAACTTTTTTCTACACTTTTTTGTAAGACAAACTATGTTGTAGACGGTTCTTAACTATATTATTTTTTACGTTTTTTAGAATTACAATGAGGAACTATAAAAAAAAACCAAATCGCAGGACTGTCTCTTTAGATATTTATAAAACTGCTGCCCGAATAGTGATTGATGAAGGCAAATCAGTGAGATCTGTAGCAAGAACTTTTGAATTATGTCATGTCACTTTAAACAGATTTATGAAAAGGCAAAAAATGGATCAGGATATGTTATCCAAAATTGGATACAAACAAAACCGATTGGTTTGTTGATTATTATAATAATACTATATTGTAGAAGGTTTGTGGGTTATTGCAGTAAAAACCTCAAATGCGTAATACTATATTGTATTAATTAAAGGAGATAATTTATGTTTGTTGATTATTATAACAATACTATATTGTATTAATTAAAGAAGACAATTTATGTTTGTTAATTATTATAACAATATTATATTATATTAATTAAAGAAGACAATTTACTTTTGTTCATTTATAGTAACAAAAATATGTTAAGCCAGTGAAAGATGTTTATTACAGTTGTTAATTATTTAATATGTAATTAAAAACTGTAATAAGTAATTAAAAACAATTTTATTGATTTTTTTCGTTTTTATTTCGTACTATTTAACTCATATTAATATTGGTTACAACTTGCTTCAGCGTTGTTACTTTCAACCCCAAGTTGGGGTGAAAAATAACAACGCACCTCGCTCCATTAAAGTGGTCATACACTTTTAGAAATTGAATTAACAGCATTCTGTTGCTGTAAAATTAATATTGAATCTCCTCCTTATTTGTGTAGATAAATTAAAAATCCACGCGCGTAGATTTCTTTTTAACTTATAAAAACAGAAAAATGTTACTTCCAACCCCGATCTCTCCTACTCCAATTCTGATAAATATATATTAGAATAATTTTTTTATTATTCTTAAGCTCTCTTTATAGCAAAATGTTGATTCGGAGTTCAACCGCAAAGGCGTAATAAATAAGCCGTTGCAGAAAGAATCGCTAAGTGTCATCCAAGTGTTAGCCAAATATTATAGAAAATACACGGATGATGAGCTGAACGAAATACGTCTGGTGTTCGAGGAAACTCCGTATCCTACTGAAAATAAATTGCAAGAATTAGCCCAGAAGATAGGAGTGTCAATTAACAGTATTAATGAGTTGTTCCGAAATCTTAGACAAAAGAAAGATGAGATGAACGAACCTACGTCTTCCTTGAAGCCCGATCATAAGGTATGATTATTTTGCTCTGTTTTGTTTTACTGTTTGTAAGCTAGGAATTATAAATAGACCTGTAACTAATTAGTAGCGAAGTATTTACGACATGTAAACGATTTGGATAGATGCAAATATAGTAATATAATGTTTTAATTCAATGCTACCGACTATAGGTACATTTACCTGCCACTTTGTGCATTAAATAAAAACAAGATATGTGTAATAATATAAAATTAATATATTGATAATTTTGTAGCCATCAAAACAAAAGTAGTATTACTTTCAATGAAAATATATTTTCTGTGAATTTTTACGATTATTAATATCATCTATGAAATTAATATAATATTAAATGTTACTTATTAATATCAAATGTATACATACAGTTTATTACACCTCTATTTTATTTTACACGTTGTACTTGAAATATTTTTTGTTTCGGATGTGCGCTTGTCTTTTTACTTCTGTTATGAAAATATTTATATAACATTTTGGAAAATGAGTAGCAATAAATATTTAACATAAATATTCTGTATTTCTGCCAAAATTCATGATAATCGGACGCTCGAAGTTTTCGAAATTTATCCCTCTTTAAAAGTAATTTTCCTAATTTTAGCATGATCTTACCGTTTAATTAATTATTGTTATCATAAATTGTAGCGTCATCATTAAATTATTATTGTATAAAATCATTATATTATAACGGTAAAAATAACCACGTTAATTAACTTGTCAACTCTGATAAGTATATATGTATATTGGAATAATTTCTCTAACTACTCGTATTTTGAATGTGCTTCTTTTGTAGGACGATGTGGGTTCCAAATCCGATCGCAAAAGTAAAAAAAAAAGACTGCTTAAGGAGGAATTGACGATTGAAAATCGAAATAAATTAATACGGATATTGAAGGAAACTCGATATCTTAGATTAGAATTAAAGGAGAAATTAGCAGAGGATTTTGGTGTGTCACTCTCCCAAATTGCTAAGTGGTGCAAGTACCTTAGAGAAGTAATAAGAAAAACTAATGAAAACAAAAAATTTATTTCTTCGACGTGTGATCGTCAAGTATGATCGTTTTACACAATTTTGCTTTGCTGTTTGAAAACTAATATTTATACCTATAATCCGAAACTAAGTTGTGGCGAATAAGACGCATATGTATATTTAATGTACTTTTTTTTGTAGGAAGATGTAGATTCCAAATCCGATCACAAAAGCGAAAAGAAAAAACTGCTTGAAGATAGTGGGAGGTCGAAGGTTGGCAAGTTGAAAAAGTTAATCGGCGTATTGAAGGAAACTCCACATCTTAGTACGAAAAAAATTATAGAATTAGCCCAGGAGATGGGAGTGTCATCCTCTAAAATTACTAAGTGGCTCCATTACATTAGAAAAAGGAATAAAAGTACTAAACAGGACGAACCTATTTCTTCGTCGATATGTGAACGTCAAGTATGATCGTTTTACGCGATTTTATTTTGATGTTTGAAAGGTAATAATTATAGTCAGACCCGGGAGTAAGTTGTAGCAATTGAGATACTTGTTTCATGTAAAAAATTTGGATGGATGCAAATATGGTAATATACATTTTTTAATTCATTTGCTACCAATATGGTAACTACATACTTGCCATTGAATACTTGTTGCACATTAAATAAAAACGGAATATATATAATAATAATATAAATATTGATAAAATAATTGATATTTTTATAACTACAATATTATCAGAACAGGAGAAATTTTACTTTCAATAAAAAATACATTTTATGTGAATTTTTACGATAATTAATATCATCTATTAAATTAATATTAAATGTTACTTATTAATATATCACATATATAGATACAGTTTATTACACTCTATTTTATTTTACATTTTGTACTTAAAATATTTTTTTGTTGTGAAGATGCGTACATGTTTTTTTTGTACCTCGGCGTCACAACGTATAATCCCGGCTCTGGTTATAGTAATAAAATTTTTGTAATTATTTTATTCTTTTGCCGATTTTTAGAAAACCAATGATATTTTCAATCATTAAGGGAAATTGCATTGTGATAAGATCTTATATTACAACATTTTTTATTTTAAATTTGACAGTAGGGCAGCACGTCCAATATTTACATAATTTTTTTCCCAACGAAGGATAATATTATTTAATATATACATAAATATCAGGGATTATGGTGCGTTATTTGTAACGCACCTGTTATTTTAGCATCTGTTATCGTTATAATAACGATTTGATAATACAAAGTATTGCAATATCATGTATCTAGATATGGTGAATGCTAAAGTCACATTAGGGGGATGTGTTAAGTTAGCACCTCAACTATAGTACTCAGGAGTTCTGATTAGAGTTCCCACTTCCTTTTGACGAGACGAAGAGTTCCCTATAGTTAATAACAAGAGTTCCGCTTAATAAACATTAAAAAAAATTTTTTTTTAATGGGGTGCTAACTTTTTATCGAATTTCAAGGTGGAATAGTTCTGAGCGGCTTAATAGCTTCAATTTGCGATTGCCTAGAGTTCCTGATATGTAACAAAATTTTCGAATATTAAAAAAAAATTAAAAATTTTTGAAAAATTAATTTTTAGATACAATAGTTCTGATGATAATTTCTGCTTCTTTTTGACGATACGAAAAGTTCTCTATGATTTTTAATGACATAAGCGCTTAATAACCATTTTTTAATAATTTTTTAAAAATGGAGTGCTAACTTTTTAACGAAATTCAAGGTCGCATAGTTCTGATCAGCTTAACAGGACTGTTTTGTGAATACCTAGAGTTCTTGATACATAAAAAACATTTTTGAAGAATAATAAAGTTTAAAAAAAATAGTAGAAATCTTTGAACATTTTTTGAGAGTACCGAATAGTTCTGAGTAGCGCTTTTTATAGTTCTCGACGAGTCCTATCGAAAACTATTAGGTGCAAAAGCGATTGAACCAACGGTTTGCAAGATATAGCGACATTTGTCAGAAGATCAATAATTTTTAGAGTGAGTATATCTCAGAAACCGTTGGTCCAATCGCTTTGAGCCCTGATACTTTTCGACAGAACTCG